GTCAGCCACCGTAACTGCAATACTTTCTCTGAACTGCATGGCGCTAAAGAGTCACATTTATTTCATCATGAGTTTATCTTATAAAAACAGTCATATTGCTTTAGGTTGTTAGTAATGTGTTAAAAGTCTGAAACAAGTTATCTAAAAGGTACCAGTATTTTCCTGTACAATACTACTATAGTATCACTACATGTTATAACATTTAGTCTGATAATAATAATTAACATAACATGTTAGCTAACTCAAATCTTGCCCTTCAACTTCCGTTCAAGCTGGGGCCAGTCAGCACACCGAAAACTAAAGCCCAACACCGGACTACTCCGCCCCATCACCAAGCTTTGCCCAAAGACACTCAGCACAGGAAGAGGATCACTGCCCATGGGCAGAAGACCCAACACCGCCCACTCATTCGACGCCGCCGCCAAATCAGCCGAAACAATTGTCAGGTGCAGCCCAGAGGAGCATAGCCCATCTCCTCTGAATCATGTAGGGCTCCCATCATTCAACACCGCCAGCCCCATCTCGTCCAGAAGTATCTCTAACACTCTACCATTGCTGTCAGTCTCACAGGCCCCCCCAAAGAGCTATGTGCAATAAAATCTCCAACCCCTAAAACTGACCCAGTCCTCCAACCAACCAACCCCTCCCCCTTCAACCCCCGGCCCGGATTATAAAAATTCACAACCGACATCACCCCCACATCAGACCACACATCAACGATCATGCACTCTATATCCATACCAACTTCCCGCCTGCGGTACTGTAACCCATTCCGCAAGAATGAAAAGAGTAGATGATTACATTTATTTAGAGGACTCTCGTTAAATCTCAAGCAGCAGCTAGGAGGTAGGTTCTGCGGTAATCTGAGGGATCCTTAGCCTAGTGCAGTGGTTCCCAACCTTTTTCCCAAGGGACCCCTTTTTTACCAGTAAAATTTTTGACGACCCCCTCCCATTCTCTCTTCCAGTACAAACAGTATTAAGAAATGATAAAATTGTTCAAGCACATTTTAATATGCTTTGATTCAATAGATAACAGTAATAGTAGGCTCCAGTACAGAACAAAGTCATTAACAAAACCAAACAGAGCATAATGTGCTTGACAGTCTGTGTTACTTTTCTGAACACATTGTTTCTTGTAAACACTGATAAATCTATCATTCCTTTCAATAAACGTTTGACACATAAAAAATACACTGAGCAAAATGTACTTAAATGTGTATATTACTGTTTATACTAGATTATTTACTGTAAAGGCTGTGATTAATCAACCAGTCCTATCTTTAATGAACTTTTGACACTTGAAAATAAAAGAGTGAGCTGAGCAAAATGTTCTTAAAAGTGTGTTACTTTTTCTGTACTAATTATTTCCTGTCTTAATATCAGTAAACGTTTCACTCATAAAAAATGTGAGCAAAATGTAGGCTATAAACAAGTAATAAATGAAGTTTTAACCCCTTAAAGGCACAATCCGTAAGATGACACCGTCAGGGTGAGGAGGAGGAGATTTTTAAATTCGAACGGCTGTTGCTCACTCCCCCGCCCTTCCTGAAAGAGCCGAAAGCCACACCTCCTAATGTGCACGCGCAGGAAAAGCCGAGTTAACACCAGAGCATTGCTTCTTCGTAATAGAGCTGATTAGCAATGGAGTTATCTGAGGTAAGAAAGTTGTTTTTAACCAGCACATTAAACACTTACTGGTAGAATAAAATGTCAGTTTGTCTGCATGCGTCGGGGTAATTCTTTCTATTCTTTCTCCGTCAAAATAAACGGTCAAATACGGGAACTATCCGGTCAACACAACACAAGCCCTGCTTTGGACTGTTTTGTTTTCTTGTGAAAATTGTTGGAAAGATAAAATTTAACTTGATTACCACCAGAGCCAGTGCGCCGTTATCTCCGTGACGGTAAATGAGGGAAAAACAAATTGATCGGATCCTGCACGTCTTTTAACACATTGGTCAGGATTGACGCACTTTGTTTTCATTTAGTTGGTTAAAAAAAAGTCGGGCGCGGGTCGGGCCGGAGAATCCTGAAAACCTTTTCGGGCCGGGCCAGACACGGACTTAGATTTTAGGCCCGTGCAGGGCTCTAACTTGTAGTATACAACAAATTAGCTGAAAAAGTGTTTTAAATTAAAAGTAATTTAGGTAAGCCCCACCTGGAGGCACTATTATTGAAAATGTGGTGTTTCTGTTATTCTACAGTTGGCCACTTGACAGCATGTTGTTAAACCAATATGTAGCAGTTAGGAGCGTTGTGGTTGTTCATCTGAGGAAGTTGTTAATAAAAAATGACAAAAACTGGACCTGTGAATTATGAATTCATTAGTGTATGTTTTATTAAAAATACTGTATAAATAAATAAATACATACTGTATCAATCCATCTGCTCTCCTCTTCACTTCTCAATGTGAGTGGTGATTGTAGTCCAATGCAGCAAGCAGTATCCGTGCCTCGTAAATAGGTGGGATGTAACTGAATCTTTTGCTTGCATACATTAGGAGATGGTTGTGAAACGCCTCCAAATTTGCTGTAGATCTAAAACAAGAATTTAACATTTAGAACAAGTATATTATTATTTATAGCTATATTACAGTACCTGAATTTCAAATATTTTGGGACTTCTTTCAGCCAACGTTCACTGAGAATGATGTCACTGAGGGCTTTGTGTGGAGTGGAGCCTTTCTGAATCCAGTCTTTCTCTCTGTCACTTAGTAAAGGATCATGCTGACAAACATCCAGAGACCACTCATGTTCTCCAGTCACATGATGGAGTAGACCGATCCACATGCCCTAAAAGACATATGTGGCGATTAGTTACATTCACTTTTTTTATATGAAAACACAAATAATGTACGTACAAAAAACTCATAAGTGTTCGCCGACTTGCAGCAAAACCAAAAATGGTTACAGATATCTTTGTTCCACTGTAATAAAACAAGTCTCCCCAGCCTTCACAGATTTCTGCACGAGCTGATTATCATTCCTTTTATTTTAATATGGAGTTTTCACGTAAGTAAGACCACAAAATCAGACAGTAATCTGTACACGTGGCCCACCCAGGTTAGCACAATAAGTCTTTCAGTGCTAATAGAAACGTAAGGTTTTGGATACGTTCCTCATCAATCACACCTAATTCTAACTGCTGAATCATCTCCTCAGACTTCAACAAGTGCTACATGAGCTGCTGATTACTCATTTTAATCAAAGACGCAGCTCAGGAAAGTGTAAACATCTAATTCAGCGTTCAAGATGCTAACCGAACCCGCTAACGGGGAAGTTATAAACAAGAGCTTAAAACAATACACTGATATGGCCTATAGTTAAAAGCCACACTAATCATTAGCTCCCATATAAAAAAAACTAAAATCCCCTTTCGTTACTCAAACTTCTTCCAAATATAGCATAAATAGTTCGACTAGCATCGATTCATGTCGACTTAGCATTCAAGCTAATGCTACATTAGCCAATAGGACACCAAGCATACAAAACTTGTTTGCTCTATTACTTCTTTCAGTGAAAGAAAATTTTTAAGTAAATTTATCCGAAAAACAATAAATAACTTACCTGTCCAAAAGATACTTTGCCAACTCGTCATCCGTTTTCAGGCCTTGTAGATCACGAAAATCTCTCCATCGTTTAAAAACAATCTGCAATGTAAATTCTACTCGAGTGTCTTAAACGTCTTACAGCCACTTTTGAAGAAGGGCTTTTAAACTTTTTAAATGTTTTTTAAGATGTGGAAGGCAGTCGAGGAATCGGTAATTTGGGGTTTTGTTGCTCCATGTTTCTGCAGTAAGCAGCGTGAGGCGCGTGACACTGTTGTGCACGCTGAGACCTGCTGTGCTCGATGATTGACAGCTACCCCTGGTGGTAACGCAGCGCTATTGGTCAACGCGTTAGGCTTGCAGAAATATTGGCTGAGCTCTACATGGCAGGGGAGGGACTTGGGAGAAAATTGAAATATTAAAGATTATTTCCTTTTTTTAATAAAATTTGGTCAGATGGTCAAAATCAAACATTTTTAAAGTTATTCTACATTTAAATCTTACGGAGTGTGCCTTTAAAGTGGAGAGGTCCGGCGACCCACTGAGAGGATTTGGCGCCCCCTTGTGGGGGTCGGGACCCCCAGGTTAGGAACCACTGGCCTAGTGAACTAGACCAAATTCTTACATTTATTTAGGTAAGTATATATACCTAAATAATACATTTATTTAGGTAAGTATATATACCTAAATAATACATTTATTTAGTCTGGCTTGCCAGGCTAAGGGATCCTGGCTCCCGGCAGAGAATTCTGCTGTTGTTTCTTTGGGCTAGAATTCACCCAAATAGCATGATGGTGGTGGTCAGATCGACTGGTGGTGCCTGTGCTCTGTCAGTGTGCCCCAGCTGAGCTGTGGCTTCAATGTAGCTAATCACCACTGGACTGTAAATGTGTGTGAGCATGAGCGACTTGTATGGCACTTTGTGGAGTTCTAGGACTCTTGGGCTCTACACTAGATACAGGCACTTGGAATGAAGAAAAACATGTATGTATATATGCTGTACAAAGTAAAAGGCCAGGCTGTTCTCCAAAAGGCATAATTGTGATAATCACTTGGGGAACACAACTCATCACCAGGTTTGTAAGTGTTTAAACCTATTAGTGATGCAGATGTAGCCATCGGTAATAGGTGAAGGCAGCTACTGATGCAACAAGGAGCAAGAGCTGGGATCAGATGTTCACTGGATACACAAGCAGTCTGTTTTAAATACTCACTTTTTCATGAGTATGTCCCAGATCATATGTGTTGGTCAATATCGTGACCGTTTTTTTTTTTTCATTTGATGCAAAATGGGTTTGGTTTGAATGACTTAACTATTTTATTCTTGGTCTACTGCTATTTATTTTTGAAACAGAGCCGGTTAAATGAGATAGTCTCTATGAGGCTTAAGCCATTAGAAGTGAACACCGGTGTTCGTAAGTTACGGCTAACGGGAGCAGGCCCCTTTAAGAATCCAGCCAAAACAAAGCGTGCGGTGACCGGCTGCACGGAAGTGCTCTCGGCTCCGTGACGACCGACACTACTGTATGATATATGATACCTGCTGACCATTTAAAACCCAATTACCTCTGATTGTTGTGTTTAACCTTTATTAAGAGTATTTTTATTTGATCACCATATTGTTTTTCTTATCACTCAAACGAAACGAAGGATAGCTAGCCAGCTTGTTAGCTAGCTAAAAGCAAGCAGCCATGCCGTCCTACTCTGACGTGCGGAAAACCAACCACTTCTACTACTTTATCAAATTTACACTAAATATCTACTCAATGGTCTTCTCG